GCCCAAGTTCTACAGCAGCCGCATCGACTACTTCAAACCCAGCTTCGAGGCGCTGGTCCGGGCGCAGGTGAGACCCTGTCCCTGCCTTGGGTGGCCCTGGTGGCACCCGTCCCCCCTGGGGTACCCGCAGTGCCGGCTGCCATCGCAGCAGCTCCGGGGGAGTTTGGGCTGGTTTAGATGGACCTGCCTCTCGCCAGGGACACGACGTCCCTGCCCCATGGGATTGCCTCTCAGGACGTTATCTTCTGGCATCCGATGGCTTTATTCAGCTGGGTTTGTCGTCTCGTTGAGATCCTGAGCTCAGGGTTGGAACTTGCTTGAGATGCTGAGGGCCCATCTTCGCGGTCTCTTTTGTCTCTGCCCATGGGTTGGACCTGGATGATCTTCAGGCCCTTTCCAACCTCACTTCTGTGATTCTGGGTAACCAGAGCTGCTGTGTGCTGGCGAATGGAGGAGGCTGCTGTGTAAGCTCCATGCCATGGCTTTGCAGGAAGGGGTGGCCTAAATTAACCACAGCTGGCTTTCATTTCCACCCTCCAGCTTTCTGCCCTGCCCTGTTGCTGCCCCTCCACCTTCCTCTTCCTCCTCCTCTCACCCTTTCCCTTAGGCTGGAGAAGAGCGTGGCTGGGATTTAATCCCGCTTCGAAGGTCTGCCACCATGGAATCAGGGTTATCACGGCATGGTTTGTGCTGGAAGGGACCCGAAAGCTCCTCCAGCTCCAGCCCCAGCCCCGGGCAGGGGAACCTTCCACTGGAGGAGGTGCAGGGAGCACGAGTTCCACCTCAGCCCGCACTGGGGGCTCTCTGAGCCTGATTCACCTTCCAGATGGTGCCTGGGGATGCTGCTCCCACTGCTCCAGCAGCCCAGGGAACCAGACTCCCTGGAGCCACCACAAAGTCCCTCTGGCTCTTGCCCCCAGCCCTGCAAGCCCTCGCAGCCGCTTGCTGTGGGTGGCTTGTTTGGATGAGCCCTTGAATCCCGACTGCCGCCCGCCCCGTCCGGGTGCTGTGATCCCCTGGCAGCTCCCTTTGCCCCTGTCCTTGGCCAGGATGTCCCCTGTGCTCTGCTTGTGCTGGCTCCTGCCGGGGGGGGGCTCGGGGGAGCAGGGAGCTGTCTGAAAGGCTCCGTGTTCGTACACTCCTTATGCAGGTGAGGGGTTTGGTCAGGAAATCCCATTAGCACCCGACAGGCAGCGCTGTGACAAGGCTGCTGCCTCTCCTGTGGGCCAGACTAAAGCTGGTCCCAGATGGATGCTGCAGCGTCACATCCCGCCCTCCCCGCCACATCCCTCTTCCCCAGCACCGGCTGCACCCTTCCACCCCCGGGCAGGGATGCACCAGCACAGCGGCATTCCCAGTGCTGGGAGGAGAGCTCAGCACTTCCCTAAGGAGCTCTTTGTGCCTAGGCTGGGGTCTGGCCGTGTCCTGCTCCAGCTGAGGAGCCTGGGCACTGCACAGTGTTCCCTTATTGCAGGTGGCTGCAGTAAATGGGAAAAGGGAAGCGACTTGCCCAAGGTACCGGGAGCAGCACTGGGAGCATCCGCAGGGGTGAGGAGGTGATGGGAGGTGACTGGTCCAGCCCAAGGCCAGGCTGGACACAGGGGATGGAGCACCCTGCTCCAGTGGAAGGTGCCCCTGCAATGGGGGCAGCTTTGAGCTGCCTTCATCCCAGCCCTTTCCATGGCTCCGCACTCCGGAGCAGCAGTTTGGTGGCTGTGACCCAAGGAGCCCCCGGCCCGGCGCCGCGGGCGGCCGGGTTCCCATGGCACAGCGTGGCCGGTGCCGGCTGCCTCCGCGCTCGCAGGGGCTGTAGCATCCATCCAACACCGAATGCTTGCGTCCACCCACGGGCCCGGGCCAGCGGAGGCAAAGAATTCCCTGGCTGAGGGCTTTGAAGTGGCCACATAAAGATGAAAGGGGGAGAGCTGGAGCCTGGTGTGAGCGCTGGAACGCTGCTTCCAGCTGGCAAACGATACCCGCCTGGATGCAGTGGAATGGGGGGAGAAGCTGGGGTTTGGGGCAGGGCTGGGGTGAGCCTCAGCGGGTGCTGGCAGCAGCCCCGGGCTTTGTTTGGTGCAGGGCTGCTATAAACACAAGCGCTGCCCGGCTGCGGCCGGCGTGGTCCATAGAGAATCAGGAGAACACCGTGTCCTGCAGCGGGATTAGTTCAGGACAGGTGGATCGGGGCTGCTGGCTCCATCTCAAAGGCGAGTTGGAGATGGGATTTGATGGGACGGGGACGGAGCATATGGTATCCACGGCTGGAAAAGTACTGAGCGGCGGGCAGCAGGACCCCGCTGCTGCGGCGCCAGTGCCCATCAGTTTGGGGTGCGTCCCCCCAGCCATAGAGGCAGCGATGGGAGGAAGCCCCACGGGATCAATCCCTGTGGAATGTCGCTGGTGAAGCACAGGAGACCCAATGGCGATGCACCATGAGTGCTGCTGTCAGGCACTGGGGTCTGCTGGGGGAGAAGAGCATCCCCAAGGAGCCTGCAGCACCCTGGGGACCCTGTATCTCCCACTGGCATGTGGGTGGTGGGGAGGGCAGCACCCAAAACGTGTGCTCAGCTTTGGATACGGGGCGGGCTCGGGGGCAATCCTTGGGGAAGGGGCTCCCGCTGCTGCCCCGGGAGCTTCATCTCAGTGCACCTGGAATTGGCAGCACCGGGTGGCCATGTATGACTGAAGGGAGCCCAACTGAGACCGGGATGGGGCTGAGGGACAGGAGGGCTGCTCCAGAGCTCCGGCACCCAGCTCGGCAGCCCTCCCGCCGGGATCTGTGCCCTCCAGGGCGTTGGGAAGGGGTTTTGTGGTGATGGGAGTTACCAGCGCACTCAGCATCTCCTGCTCGCGTGGGGCTGAGGGTGCTTTGGGGTGACCCGGCTGCAGGGGGGCGGCTGCAGTGGGGCGGGGGGGGGCTCTATCCCACGCCTGCCTGCTCAGGGCTCGTTAGTCACTGTGTAAATGAGCACTGAATCACCCAGCACCCACGGCGTGGGGAGACCCGGCCCTGCAGCAGCCCCTGCTGCGCTGCGGTGCGGATGGACCCAGGGGAAAGGGGGGGGTGTGCAGGAGCTTGGGGTGCCCAGCATTGCCCCTCAGCCCTGCCCAAAACAAGCATCGTTTTGAGCAAGATGAGGGGAGTTGGTCTCCATGGAGACCGCATCTCCAAACTGGGGATGCTGGGGCTGATCCCGGGTGCCCCCCGAGCCTCAGTTGTGAGATGGGGGCCACGCTGGCTCATGCTGGGAAGCACTCCCCTATCCCTCCCTGCCAGTGCTGGGCCAGGCCTCCCCGTCACCCTCCTCCTGTGGGGCACAGCACCACGGCTCTGCATTGGCACCCGCCAGCAGCCCGGTGCCATCTGCCTGCGCTGACCCCCTGGCTCCCGCTCCAGCGCTAATTGGTGCTGTTAATTAGCACATGATTAAACCCCCTCCCCCTGCCGCGTGCAGGGGACGGCGCTGCCAGGCCTGATGCTCCCGGTGCCCCCGTGCCAGGAGCGCGGACCTGTTGCGGGGCTGCTCCCATCCCCAGGCACCGGTGATGGGCGATGGGGACCCCGGCTTTGGCAGGGGCTGGGGGCAGCCCGGTGCACGCAGCTCCAGATGGGAACGGGCAGGGAAGGGCAGCGCGTTCCTAAACCACGCTGAGCTGTGATAATGGGAGGGGGAAGTTTCACACATGGCAGGGAGCTATTTTAGCACCGGCAGCGCCCGAGCGAGGGGCTGGCTCCGTCCGCGCTGCACCCCTCAGAGGAGGAGCCCCCCCCAGCCCCGGCCCTGCTCCCCCCACACCTCTCCCCTTTCCCCCCTCCAGGTTGTCTATTACACCGAGATGCACAAGATCTTTGGGGAGCTGACGGCGCAGATCGACCGGGCCGGCCTCAGCGACGAGCAGCGCGAGCGCGACAACGATGCCAAGCTCAGCGAGCTCAGGGCTCTCTCCATCGTGGCCGATGACTGAGCCGGGGCAAGGCCTCCCCCTTGCTCCCCACAGGGATGGACTCGGGGGGGTTAACCCCTTTATCCCCCCCCATGGCACCTGGGGAAGGGGGGGGGCACAGCAGGGCTGCCCCTTCCTCCCCACCCTGCTGGTAGCATCCAGCCCTGTGGGGATTTGTGCCTCCTGTCGGGGTTCAGCGGGGAGCTGGGGGCTGCCGGCCTTGCCCAGGCACCCACCCGCTGCTGCCCCAGCACTGGGCCCTGTTGGCTTGGGCAGGAGCCGGCCCAGCCCCTTCCCGGTCAGGCAGGAGGAGGATGGGGGCTCTCCTGCCCCCAATTTGTGCCTTAGGGGAGGGGAAAGCTTTTAACCCCCACACTTTGAGGCACGGGGAGGGGGGGACGAAACCTCCACGGCTCCCCTGCCACCCACCAGGTGATGCCGCACTCCAGAGGCTCTGGTTTAAGCAGGAATGGGACCAAGCACCCCTGCCCCATAGCTATGGGGTGCAGGGGGTGCCCGCTGAGGGGTACCCCAGGAGCCAGGGGTGCAGAAGGGAAACGCATCCCGGGCAGGCGCAGACCCAGGGAGGAGCACGGGGAGGGGGTCCCGGAGCCGCCCCTCGTTGCCGGGGGGCACAGGGGGTCTCCAATAAAGGTCTTGGCAGCGCAGCGGAGCGTGGTTGGGAGCCGGAGCCAGCGCCGCGCCGCTGCTGCCCTCTGCAGCCCCCCAACAGCCACTGCCGGGGGTCCCATGGGCTCCAGCGCTGGGGGTGCGGGGGGAGACGGGGAGGGAGGAGGCAGCGAGCAGCCCCTGGGGAACGGGGAAGAACCCGAGGAACAGAGACTTACATCAAATGCAGGGGAGTGGAGCCCCAGGCGGCACAGGGAGGACTGTTACGGAGATGATGATGCTCTATGGGCACAGCCACATCCAGAGCCTCCCCGTGAGCACCTGCGTGTACCCCCCATCCTAACCCGGCCAGGCTGCCCCCAAGTGGAGCATCCCACTGGGAGGACTGGGTGCCCAGTGCCTGCCTCCAATACACACCAAATTCCCTGCTTCAGAGGTTTCTATTCAATGCAAACCAGCCAGAGCAAACCCTGCACATCACTAGGGATGTCCGGCCTGGGATCCCATCTCCCCAGGAAGGTTGGGATGAAACAGGCTTGTGGGGATCGTGCTGCCATCCGCATCCCTGCTGTGCGACATCTCCTGGTGGAGACCTTGTGGGTGCTGCTCCATTGGTCTAGAAGAGAGGAGAGGGGGTGACGGCAGCTCGCGGTACCCCATGTCCCGGCACATCTCATCCCGCCTTACCCCGTGCCTTGGTCTCCATGATGGGTTGGGTGCTCCTCGGTGTCTTGCCCAGGCTCAGCACCGCGGTGCTGCGGGAGATGCAGAGCAGGACAGGAGGCAGCAGCATCCCTGGAAGCAGAACTCCTCACCCGCTGCACCATCTGACGGCACCGGCTGCACCGTGCCCATCATCCCTGCACCTACCCGGGAGCTCCTCTTCCCTTCGGTCCCCATGGACACAGGGCTCGGAGAGCATCCAGAGGATCCCAGGGCTTGGGTCCGGAGCCTCGGGCTGCTGCAACACAGACGTGGGTGAGGGATGGAGGAGTCCAAGTGCCCCAAAGCAGCAGCACCGAATGCTCCCAGGACAAGTGCGATTGCACCAGGAACGCCAGGCTCCCCCTTGGCTCTGTGTGTCACCATCACCACCACCAGTACCTGAGACTGGCAAAGCAGACCCTGGGGCATGGCAGGAGCAGTGCTCAGGGTGCCCCAGGAATCCCGGCAGGAAGCAGGAGCTGAACCCCCATAAAGCCTCCCTGCTGCCAGGATTGGATGGGGGGGAATCGGAGCCCATCGGGGCACGGAAAGGCTGGTGAGTGCCCAGGCCACTTGCAGGGACACAGTGAGAGCATCCCGGGGCCGCATTCCGCATCCCGTGCAGTCGCTGCTGGGATGGAGCCAAGAGCTCCCTTCCCCTCGGCTGTTCCTTCCCAACCACATCACATGCTGGGCCAGGTCTAAGCCAAATAAACCCGGTTGCCACGGTTACCCGGAGCAGGGATGCTTTATTTAACTGCCGCGCAGGAGCCGAGCCCGTGCGAGGACCACGCTGTGCCACGGGGTGCTCTGCAGACCCCTGCGGAGCATCTGCTGGGTTAGACCCATCTGAGCCCTCTGGCGTCCCCCCTGCGTCCTCCCCAGCACCCTGCCTCCTCCATCTCCTGCAGCACCCATCTGTCCCCTGCAGCCATAGAGCCCCGCTCCTCTGTGCCATCAGCTCCTCCTGCTGTCCTTCCAGCTCCAGAGAGGGATTGCACCGATGGAAACTCGACCCCAGCGCTGCGAACTCTGCTCCCATCTGGATACCAGGGGAATGGCCACTGCAGCAGGACCAGGTCAGCACCGGGATGAGGCCGATGAGCACAGCATCCCCTTTCCGCCCCGGCAGGGACTGGGCAGACACAGGCAGCGAACTCAGTCACATTGCAGCATCCTGACCATGGCTTCCTTCCCAAAGCCCACATTCCCTCTGGGAATGAGGCCCCCGGCCAGGTTTTGCAGATGCCATCCCACAGCCAGTCCAGCACTGAATACAGCTGACAGCTTGCACCAAAACCTACGCTCTTTCCCCCAAAACGGGGTGAATGAACTCATGCCAGGAGCAGCACACACCTGGATCCACACCTCAGTTGTCCTTGTTGGGTGCTTGGGAGCCTTCCCCTGCTCCCCCATGCCAAGACCCCATCTTCCTCCTCACCTTGATCCCAAAAGCAGAATCGGCATCATCCGGACCATCCTCAGCATCCTCCTATGGGGTCAGGCATCCCGTGGGGCAGGCGGGTGCTGCTGGAGCATCTCCCTGGCATCGCAGAGGGGGCTGGAGGCAGAGAGCAGTGCTGAGGGCATCTGAGCTTGTTCTGAGCCGCTCACCCCAAAGCAGTGCCCATGGCCGTGGTGCTGGGGCCTCCCTGACCACGAACACCCACCCCCAGCAATCACTGCATGGCCAGAGCACCACTAGGAAAGGGCCTCGTGTCCCGAGGTCTGGCCCAGGTGAGTTTCAGTGCTCCAAAAGCACAGGGGACAGGGCAGGGGCACCCATCCCCGTCCTGAGCATCTCCCTGAATCCCTCCTGCTCCTCACCCCGGGCTGTTCAGCCTGGAGAAGAGAAGCTGCGTGGAGACCTCATAGCAGCCTTCCAGGATCTGAAGGGGGGCTATAGGGATGCTGGGGAGGGACTCTTCATTAGGGACTGCAGTGACAGGACAAGGGGTAACGGGTTAAAACAAACAGGGGAAGTTTAGACTGGATATAAGGAGGAAATTCTTTCCTGTTAGGGTGGTGAGGCACTGAATGGGTTGCCCAGGGAGGTTGTGAATGCTCCATCCCTGGCAGTGCTCAAGGCCAGGTTGGACAAAGCCTTGGGTGCCATGGTTCAGTGTGAGCTGTCCCTGCCCATGGCAGGGGGTTGGAACTGGATGATATTGAGGTCCTTTCCAACCCGAACTATTCCATGATTCTATGATCTCCCCAGGGGAGGGATGAGGGAAGGGTCATGGAATCAACATGGAGCTGCTTCTGCCCAAGATCCTGTCCCAGTCTCCCCTCTGGCAGGTTAAATATGCATCCTCTTTTCACTGCTGGGAAGGGGGAAACAGGGATCCAGGAACCCAAACCCCTCCAGCATCCCCCCATCCCGCTCCCAGAGACCCCCCTTCACGCTGCAGTGCTGTGGAAGGATGAGCACTCACCGTTCCCGGGAAGAGCGGTGGGATGCAGGATGCTCCGAGGATGCCCTGGGGGCTGAGCGCAGCTTCCAGCGGCATCTTGCGGTAACCGGCCCCTCACGGCGCAGCCCCGACGGCACGAAGAGGGGCTCCACCAGCACCAAACCTCAGCGGCGGAGCAGCGCCCCCCGCACCTCAAGTGCGAGAAGCCCTCCTCGTCCCGTCCCCCCCAGCAGCGCCGGTAACAGCGGAGCCCCTCGGGACCCCGTTCTCCACCCTCCGGCGGCGCTCGGTGGGGAGGGACAAGCTTCACCCCCCCCTTCAAGGCAGCGGGACCCCTCCGGAGCCGTCCTGCCCCATGGAGCGGGTCCGGAAGGGGAGGACCCGGGGTGGGGAGGGGGGGGTTCGGCGCCGCTGGCACCGGGTGATGGGAGTGGGGCCGGGAGGACAAAAGGAGCGGAAAAAAGCGGTCGGAAATGATGCGGTGGTGACGCGTCCCGGAGTGACGTCACGCCGGCGGTGGGAGTGACGTCACCTCCCAACACACATGACGTCACCCCGCCAAAAGCCGTCTCTTTAGCAGTGAAAAGTTTTATTGGGGGGTAAAAGTGAGGGGGGGGGGGAAACCGGGCCGGGGGCCGGCCCCGGGCGGGTGTGACGTCATACGGGGGGTGTGACGCAATGGGCGCAGCGCGGCTCCTCCATCCATCGGCAGCAGCAGGACCGGGCCCCCCCCGGCCCTACCTGCAGCGGCCCCCTCGCAGCGAGCGCCGGGTCAGGCGGGTGAGCAGCGCCTTCACCCGGCCCCAGTGCGAGCGCCCGTCCTGCGGGAGGACACCGGGGTCAGCACCCATGGGACCCCCGCCCCATCACCCCACAGCGCCCCCCCCCCCCCCAGCCGTTACCTTGTCCGGTGCTGGTGCAGCCGCCGCGCTGTCGGTGGGGTCCAGCAGGCTGGGGGAGCTGGCTGAGTACCCCCACGTCCTGCGGCACGGGGCAGCATCAGGGGCTGCGAGGGGATGGGGGGCATAAAGCTGGTTGGGGGGGTCCCACGGGGCATGGAGCCACAGCCCCCGCATCCCACCCTGCTCACCTGCAGCCTGGCTGTCCGAGCAGGAGCGCGGCCGGAACCTCTCACCCTTCCACCCGGCTGCATCCCGGCTGTGCTGGAGGTGAGGATCCGCATGGAAGTGAGCTGCGATACCCCCCCCCCCCCCCACCGCAGAGCATCACCCGCTCCCTGCGCACCCCGCCTGCTGCCGGCCCTCACCGTGGCGTCCGGGCGGGTGCTCTGGGTGCCCTCGGCCTGCTGCCGCAGGAGCCGGTTGTCCTGCTGCAGCTTGGCCAAGCGCTCCAGCATCTGGCAGACGTGCTCCAGGTACCGCAGCCCCTGCCCCGGCTCAGCCCCGCTGGGTGCATCATCCCCGGGGTGCTCTGCTGCGGCCTCCTCCGGCTCCCGAGGGGGCTTCGCGGCCCCGCGGTGCCCTCGCCCCAGCACCCGCTGCCTCCGGCTGCGCTGCGCCGGCCTCCTGTGGGGCAGGCGGGGGGGCTCCGTGCCCGGGGTCCGCTCCGGTGCGAGCGCATCGAGGGGGAAGCGGCTCTCGGAGCCCGCGGGGGGGGACGGCGAATGCTCGGTGCTGCCCATCTCCAGCCCGGAGTCCTCCGACTCGCACTTGAGGAGCTGCCCCCCGGGCCGGGGGGTGCTCAGCGCCCCCCGCGGGCTCTCCTGCAGCCGCCGGTACACGCTGGCCGAGGTGTGAACCACGCAGCTCTCTGCCGCCTCCCAGGGACCATCTGCGGGCGAGGGAACGCGGTGGGATGGGGGGGCCCCGGGCACGGCCCCACCACCGCTCACAGCCCCACAGCGGCTCCAGCCGCGCTCCCCAAGCGAATCAACCCCCCCCACCACCCATGGACTCCTCTCCAGAGGGTCCCCACGGACAGGGGTGCTCACAGGAGGGCAGCACGTTGCTGCTCCCCAAAACATGGCCCCGTGCGCGTCCTCTGCACCCTGATCCCACAAACCCTGCTCGTACTCGGCGCCAGACACAGCAGGGCCACGGGCTCCATCCTTCCCCCACCGTGGGATGGCTCCAGGGACCCCCAGCTCCTCACATTCACCCCCACAGCATGGGGGGCAGCACCAGGATGCGGCCCCCATCGCATCAACAGGGACCTCGGCTCCAACCCGGCCCAGCCACAGCAGAAAGGGGCTCATGGAGGTGGGGAGCGAAGCTTTGGCACCCCCGGGGCACCCAAATTGAGCTGCCCCCCCAGAACCCCCCCGTGCACTCACAGCAGCTGAACCTCCTCTTCCAGACGGCGCGGGAGCCACCCCACATCCCGAGCGCCGGAGCCGAGTGCCGGGCGCGCTTCCCGGCGCTCCCTTTTATAACCACCCCAGCCGGAGACAGGCCCTGGATCCAGAGGCACCTCATTACAGGACTGGTTCCCAACTGGTTCCTTGCAGGCTTTGGGATCGGTGATACTGGCTGAGCCGGTGGTTAAGGGCTCCCTTCCCACCCCACTGGGTTGTTTTGGGCACCGGGAAGCCGACAGCCCCATGCCGGATGCATCGGGGAACCCCGCTCTGGGCTTGGGGGGGATTCGATCCCAAATTCCTACCAAACCGCTTGACCCCGGGGCTGGAGCCTCTCACATGGGGACGGATCCGGGATGCTGCGAGGGACAATCCCGGCGTTGAGCAGCAACGAATTCCAGCAATGCCGTGGGCCAGCGGCTCCCACACACCCAGCTCCCATGGGCAGTCCCGGGTGGCACCATGGGCTATGGGGCTGCTTCCCACCCCATCACCACCGGGATGGGGGGCACATAGGGCGGGAAGGGGCACAAGGGGCTCCTATCACTGGCAGGACTCTAAACCACTCTGGGGGTCCCCACACACATCCTCAGACCCAGAGTTAGGTGCTGGGGGGGGTGTCCCAGCATAGCCCAAGCTGAGAGCACACAGGGATGGGTGGGCCATGGGTTTGTGGGCGCCCCGAAGGGACCCCAGTGCAGGCACAGACCCCTCAGCACAACAGTGGAAGGCAAAACCTGGTTTGAATTCCCAGCACCCTGGGCCCTTCCTAGCAAGGGGACAGGAATCAGGGTCTGGAGATCCCTAAAGACCCCTTTCAGCACAAACACCATCAATCGGGGGTGCCGGGGACACCCAGGCCCCCCTTCCAGCACAGACACCGCAGAGCAGGGACCCCTGAGCATCCCTCCTGCACGAGCACCCCAGGTTGGGGAACCCCCCCAATAAGCTGCGTGGGGGTCCCCAATACCCGGGGGCCCCCGACTCACCCCGGAGCGGCTCCACGCTGAAGGCTCCGCGGCGGCGGAGCATCCCGGAGCGGGGGGGTGAGCCGGGACCGGGCAGGGGGAGCTGGAACCGAGCAGGACGCACCGGGAGGACCGGGCAGGGCGGACGGTGCGGCCCCGCTGCTCCTGCGCCGTTTTATGGGGCAGGGCCCGGGGCGGGGCGGGGGGGTGCGGCCGCCCCCTGCCCGAGCAGCCCCTTTGCCCCCAGCCCCATGCTACCGCATCCGGATAGCGCTGAGCACCCCAGGAGCCTGCTCGGGGCTGGCAGGGGAGGGACCCCCGGGGCAGCCCCCCCATATCTGCCAGCAAAGGGCTGTGGGCATCCCGCGTCTCAATGGTGCGAGCTGGGGGTGCACGGGGGCTGCAGCACACCCCAGGCACAGGTGGGGCAGCAAGGCTGGGCTGTCCCCACCGGGATGTGGGACGTGGGATGTGGGATGTGGACGTGGGAAGGGGTCGGTGCTCTCCTAATCTCGGCCGGGAGCTGCTGATAGCGGCAGAGCCCATCCCCGTGCAAACAGGCACGAAGGGAGGAGAGCAGCGATAAGAGCCCACCTGAGCCCTGCAGGACAAAGGGCCCGGCCAACAGCCCGCAATAAACCCCGACACCTCCCAGGGGCCCCCCAGCCCTGGGGCAGGGGGTTTGCATCAGCTCCCCACTGCTGCTATGGGTGCAGGCAGGAGGGGTTTGGGGTCCTTGCCTGCATTCCCCCCACCCAGCCCTGGGAGGGTGCAGGATGCTTCTGCCCCCCCCGCCCTGCACAGACCAGACACGGGAGTGGAGCAAATATATATTACCTTTATATAGAGATCTGGTTTAATAGCTCGGAGAAGCCCTTTGCAGTCAGTGCACAAAGCGGTGCCAGCCCCGTCTCCAGTACCTAAGTGCTCAAGCATCCCTGTGCCCTCCCTTTATGTCCCTGCTGCGCCCCTGGGTGCATACAGCTGCTGCAACCCAGGCTGAGAACTAACCCAAGCTCATCACACGCACCCTGACGCAGCAAGGGCAAAGGGGGCAGCTGCAGCTCACACCCCCCCCACCACCACCAGCCCCAACCCTACCAAAGCAATGGGGCTGTTGGGGTGCCCGAGGGGATGCAGCGGGGAGGTCCCCATCGCCCCCTGCGTGGGGCTCAGGAGTGGGGGGGCACCGTGGGGGCTCTGGTGCCGCCGGGGGGGCCCTGGTAGCGCAGCTTCGCGTGTTTCTCACAGTAGAGCTCGTCCCCGGCCCAGAAGTGCCCCCGCATCTTCAGGTTGAGGCCGCAGTCGGCGCAGGCGTAGCAGGATGGGTGCCGGTACCGCCCGTCCCGGATGCGCACCGCCTGCGTCCTGCGGGGAGACGGGGCCGTCACCGCCCGCCCCAGCCGGGGCCCGGCTCCCCGGGGACCCCCCTCCCGCTCCCGGTCCCGGTCCCCACTCACGCGATGCCGCTGCCGCACTTCTCACACGGGGGCAGCCTCGGGAGCCCCGGCGCGGGTTTGCGGGCGCTGGGCGAGAGGCGGCTGGGGAAGGGCGCTGCGGGGACACGAGGCCGTGAGGGCCGCACCCGCACCCCGCAGAGCCTCCCGCACCCCGAGCCCCCCTCACCTCCAGCCTCGTCCTCCAGCGCCTCCTGCAGCAGGCGGAAGGTGCTGGACTGCCGCGGCGCCGCCCGCAGCTCCCGGTTCTCCTGCAGCATCTTCAGCACCTCCGAGTCCTCCTCCAAGCGCCTCATGGCCGGCTCCGAGCCCGGGCTGCGGGAGCGGCACCCGGGGGGTGGCTCCCAGCACCCCAACGCTTGGGTCCATGGGGCTGCGCCCAAACCACCCTCCACCGGCTCCTCCACCCTGGGGAGCTGCCCCAGCCTGCCCCGTCCCTCCCACAGCCCGACCTGCGCCGCAGGTGCCTTAACTCTTTGCATGGGCTCCCTCAGCACCGCAGCACCCATGGGTACTGAGCCACCGCGTTGTGATGGGTGCGTGGGGCTGGGAGCTTCGCTGTGTCTGCGTCCCGAGCCCGCTCCGTACCTGCTGCAGGGGTTGGGGGAGGATGAAGAGCCGCGCCGCTCCCCGGGGGTCTCCCAGGGGTTTGGGGGGGCCCCGAGCCCCGGTGAGGGTGGGCGGGGGGGTGGAGGCAGCGCAGACCCCGAGGAGCTGTGGAGGCTTCCTCGCTCCTGGCAGGGGGTGAAGAGGAGCTGGGTGAGGTGCTGGGTGCCAGGGGTTGTGCAGGTGCTGCAGCAGCCCCCCAGCATGGGGACACCCAGATGGGGCCCAAGGGCTTCTTCCAAGCCCTGGTCCCCAGAGGGATGGGTGGTCCCAAGGAGGGATGCAGGGATGCTCCATGGCTCGGCATGGGACAGGCCAAGGGGAATGGCTTTAACCTGCCAGAGGGGAGACTGAGATGAGCTCTTAGGCAGAAGCTCTTCCCTGTGAGGGTGCTGAGGCGCTGGCACAGGGTGCCCAGAGGAGCCGTGGCTGCCCCATCCCTGGCAGTGCTCAAGGCCAGGTTGGACACAGGGGCTTGGAGCAAGCTGCTCCAGTGGAAGGGGTCCCTGCCCGTGGCAGGGGCTGGGGCTGGAGGAGCTTTAAGCTCCCTTCAATCCAAACCAGGCTGTGACTCAAAATCCCTCTGCTCCCACCCTGGTAACCCCGCGCCTGCGTCCGTCCCCTCCCTGCATCTGCTCCTACTCAGGGCAGGAAAGGCGAAACCCGGATAAGTGGAAGCCGATGTTCCCGGGAGCAGCCGCCATCAGATGCAAACCCGGGGTGGGGATGAGGAACGCTGTGCCCAGACCCTGCAGAGGCGGAGAGGGGCAGCCCCAGGGCTCTGTGGGCCACAGGCAAGCGAAGAATGAGCTAAACTTAGGCACGGGTGGAGCTGGGCGCTTTGGATTCCTCCCCACCAGTACCCGGTGCCAGCCCGCACTGGGATGTGGCACAAAGCATGGTCCAAGGGCAGCCCTTCCCCTCTCTGCCCCTTTGGGCACGGGTCCGGCCACAGCCCCCACCTCAGCCCCATGGAGGGGGGCTCTGGGGCAGGGAGGGACCCTTTTAGGGCCGGCACCAAAGCGAACACCGATGTGGGGAGGAAGGAGGGAGCGTGCGCCCGGAGGAGCCAAGGGGCAGCAGGGCCATGGCCAAAGGCAGCCGGGACGGGCCGCGGCGCTTCCCAATTTGGGCTTGGAAAACAAGGAAAGCGGGGAAGGAGCGAGAGGAGGGAGAGGCCGAGCCCGGAGCCAGCGGCTGCCCCCGGGGCACCGCAGCCGCCCGAAACCGCGGCGGGGAGGGACGGGGCGACCGCGGGCATCCCGGGACCGGTCCAGGCGGCGAGGGAAGCATCCCGGCCCCCGGGCACCGCGGCCCGGCCCGGCCCTGCCCGGCGCTCCCCAGACTGGTTCGGGCTCCCCAGGCCGGCGCCGCTGCCGAGAGGGGCCGGGGAGGAGCGAGGAGAGCGCAGGGAGGGAGCCGGTGCCCGTGGGGCGCTGCCAGCGCGGCGGGGAGGCACCGGCGGCACCGCGGCAGGACGCCGGCCCCGGGGCAGAGCGGGCTGGGAGGTGGCGCTGCGGCGGGGATGAGCAGGGCTGCGACCAGCGGTGGTTTCGGGGTGCCAAGGGGATGGGTTTGGGGTGAGAACAGCGGTGGTTTTGGGGTGCCAAGGGGATGGGTTTGGGGTGCCAAGGGGATGGGTTTGGGGTGCGAACAGCAGTGGTTTTGGGGTGCCAAGGGAATGGATTTGGGGTGCCAAGGGGATGGGTTTGGGCTGCGAACAGCGGTGGTTTTGGGGTGCCAAGGGGATGGGTTTGGGGTGCCAAGGGGATGGGTTTGGGCTGCGACCAGCGGTGGTTTCGGGGTGCCAAGGGGATGGGTTTGGGGTGCGAACAGCAGTGGTTTCAGGGTGCCAAGGGGATGGGTTTGGGGTGCAAAGCGGATGGGTTTGGGGTGCCAAGGGGATGGGTTTGGGGTGCCAAGGGGATGGGTTTGGGGTGCGAACAGCAGTGGTTTTGGGGTGCCAAGGGGATGGTTTTGGGGTGCCAAGGGGATGGGTTTGGGGTGCCAAGGGGATGGGTTTGGGGTGCGAACAGCAGTGGTTTTGGGGTGCCAAGGGGATGGTTTTGGGGTGCCAAGGGGATGGGTTTGGGGTGCCAAGGGGATGGGTTTGGGGTGCGAACAGCAGTGGTTTTGGGGTGCCAAGGGAATGGATTTGGGGTGAACAGCGGTGGTTTCAGGGTGCCAAGGGGATGGGTTTGGGGTGCCAAGGGGATGGGTTTGGGGTGCGAACAGCGGTGGTTTTGGGGTGCCAAGGGGATGGGTTTGGGGTGCCAAGGGGATGGGTTTGGGGTGAGAACAGCGGTGGTTTCGGGGTGCCAAGGGGATGGGTTTGGGGTGCAAAGCGGATGGGTTTGGGGTGAGAACAGCAGTGGTTTTGGGGTGCCAAGGGAATGGATTTGGGGTGAACAGCGGTGGTTTCGGGGTGCCAAGGGGATGGGTTTGGGGTGCAAAGGGGATGGGTTTGGGGTGAGAACAGTGGTGGTTTCAGGGTGCCAAGGGGATGGGTTTGGGGTGCAAAGGGGATGGGTTTGGGGTGAGAACAGCGGTGGTTTCAGGGTGCCAAGGGGATGGTTCGGCATCACAAAGTTCACATTGCACAGATCCCCCCAGCAGCTCTGCCTGGCCCCACACAGCCCCCAGCTCCTGCTCACCTGGCAGAGGCCAGGACTGGCGATCTCCTCCATGAGCTGTGAGCTGTGGGGAGAGGATGGAGCCGTCAGGAGATACCGGAGCCTGCCCGGGCCCTGCACATCCCATCCGGCCTTACCCTTCGCTGCCGGGCAGGGGGCTGCAGGATGCGGGGCTGGAGCCTCTCCTGGCGCCCCGGCTCTCCTCCTGCATCCACAGCGCATCCTGGGGACGGGAGGGAGACGCCAGCAGCTGAAACCGGCCCTGGATGAGGGTGCAGGGCACGGGGGCTGCCCGGGGCTCACCTGGAAGCGGGTTCCCAGCCTCTCCGGTGAGGTGTCCCCATTGGTGTGGCTGGGAGGTGGCACCGGGGACCTGGGGACCAAGGGAGAGTGGTGGCTCCGGCATGCAGGAGCCTGCGGCTTGGCCACTCTGTCCCTGCCCGCTGGGAGGGGTTGGATGAGCTTTAAGGTCTCCCCCAGCATGAACCAGTCTGTGATTCCCCTGCAGCACCCCCAGGCCCCCAGCTGGGACCAGTTGGCCGGGTAACGGCTGCCAGCGCTGCCTGATCCTTAATTACAGACCCGGGATGGGCTCCCATGGGAATGGCGGAGCCCCAGGAGCCGCTGGAAGGGAAAACAACCGGCTCGGCCGTGGCTGGGGCCCCGCAGCGCAGCACCCACCTCTCCACCTGCAGCCGGAGCTGCCCAGGGCTCTGCTTGATCTTATTCTGCGCCTCCACGTTGAGCATCTCGGCTGCACTCTCCCCGTTGATGGTGACAATGAGGTCCCCCGGGCGCAGGTCACCCACGGCCGCCTTCCCGTGCTCTGCCACCTCCATGGGACATGGGGATGGGCCCGGTGTTATCCTGGTGGTGCTGGGGGCAGCGAGTCCCGTGTCCGTCCCCCACCACCCCTTAGCCCCACACATGTCATGCAATCCTCGTGCATCACCGTGCCCAAGCACATGGATGGGCACAGCCAGCTCCGTGGTGGTCCCCAAATCCAGGATGCTCCCATTGCGGTCCCCAGTGGAAACATGCCACAGCCCTGCTGAGCTCAATGAACCCATTCCCACCATCACCCATCCCCATGGAGCAGGATTCCTCAAGGACACCAAACAGGATCCGCTCCTGGAGCACCCCCGGAACGGAGCCCACCCCTGCATCCCTCCCCAGGGCCCGTGGGGGGCTCCTACCTTGGAGACGGTGATGGGCTTCCCAAAGTCTCTTCCCCCCGCGATGCGGAAGCCCCATGGGGCAGGACCGGGCAGGGTGACGGTCACGGGCATGGCAGCGGGTCCTGCGCAGGGTGAGGACAGGCCGGGTGCCGAGGGGATGGGGCAGAGCAGGGACCCTGCACCCTGCACGGGGATGATGGAGCCCAACAGCTCCTTCCTTCCGGGGAGGGGACCCGCGCCCTCGCGCTGTCACAGGGTGCCGGCAGCTTCCTCTTGCTGCCCCGCTGTCCCCAGCCAAGGCTCTTGGTGGCTTCCTCCCCTTCCAGCCCTCCCCTGGGACCGAGGGGTGCGAGGCTGCAGCTGCAGGGGATGGAGTGGCCGCGGTCACCGGGGTCTTGGGCAAGGCAGGAAATCGGTGCTGGTTTGGCCACGGCAAGGCCAAACCAGAGGGATTTGAGGGGAGGATGTGGCTGGAGAGGGGAGGATCCTGCTGTGCATCAGGGCTGCAAGAACCACACACAATCCCCCCAGCCCTTCGTCCTGCAGCAAACCCACACGGGTAAAGGATGCTGAACATCCCCTGGGAATAGCACGGGGGCCGCAGCAGCCCTTGGCTTCGATGGGATCGATGGGAACGGGCAGCACCATCCACTGAATATCAGCTCTGGCACCGCTGGTCCCCTCAGGACCCAGCCCAGCCCAGCCCCACCAACACAGCCCCAGGGTGGCAGCAGGAGTAGGGTACTCATCTGCATCCCGGCACCCCATCCTCATCCCGGCACCCCATCCTCATCCCGGCACCCCACCCTCATCCCGGCACCCCATCCTCATCCCGGCACCCCATCCTCATCCCGGCACCCCATCCTCATCCCGGCACCCCATCCTCATCCCGGCACCCCATCCTCATCCCGGCACCACATCCACATCCACAACCGCCGGGGAAGGCATTTTTAACATCCCAAGTGCACAAAGAGGGGTTTCAGAGGCTGCCACGAAGAATTTCCTGGGCTGGGATTTGCAGCGCCGGGAGAAAACCCCAAACCCGCTCCCCGTGCCCAGCCCCGCTCAGCATCCCTGGGAACCGAGGTCTGGCTCCCCGGGGACCCCAACAGCCGGCGGGGCACCCCCGAGAGTGCTGCACCCCTGCTCGTGCACCGCTGCTCCCGCACCCCTGCTCCCGCACCCCCCCATCCCCTGCCCCGTCCATCCCGCATCCGGGGCACGGCGCTGCCTTTGTGGCCGCGGTGCCTGTCACGCTCCGGGGCCGCCGGCGGCTCCAGGCGCTGCCCGCACCCCCGTCCCCTGCCCGTCGGATCAGCGCCCCCGAGCCCCGCATCCCCGCGGGACCGGCCCCGGCCCCCCCCGCCCAGCACTCACCGAGCCGGCGGCCCCGTGGGGCGGCGGAACCGAGCCCGGCCCCACGGCAGCGGCGCCTCCCCCTCGGAAGGGGCCGGCGGAGCCCGACGGGGCCGGGCCGAAGCTCGGCAGCGCCGTCTACGGGCACGGCCGCCCCGACGGGGCGCACGGTGTGGGGCGCGGGCCGGCCCAGGGGTCCCACGTGTCCGGATGCAGCCCCACAGGCATCACCGCAGACCCCTACACGAACCGCTGCAGCCCCGCGTGCTCCCCACGCCTCACTGCAGCCCCACACATGCACCCCTGCAGCCCCACGTAGCCCTGCCCACCCCTGTGCGCCCACAGCATCGCTTCCACGCAGCATCACAACCCCACGGGGGGCCGCCACACCCCCAACGTGCAGCCCCACCGCCCCATGCAGCGCCCTGTGGGCTCCTGCCCCACATCTCCCATGGGCACTGCCCCATCCTGTCCCCACCAGGCTGAGCCTTGGGTTGAGCTGAGCTTTAATGATGGACAAGAAGCAACCGCGACTCCCAGGTGCGCGGCACGGCCCTGGACCAACACCTCGGGTCAGAGCCGTCATGGTCAGGCCCCGGCACCGGCAAGGATGCCCCCGGCACTGCCCGGAGAGGAGCGGGAGGTACGGTCACCGCCGGCATGGAGGGACACGAGGTACCGAGGAGGGGTCTGGTTAAGGCACTGGATTGCGGGGACCCCCCTGTGCAGGGACGGGTCCCTGTTGGAGCAGCCCCATAGGGGCAGGCGGAAGCTGGAGGCGCTTTGTCCCCATGGGGGGGACGCGGAGGGGACGCGGCAGGGAGCGGCGTGGCCGGAATCCTCCTCCGCAGGGCCCGGATCACACCGGGGCCACGTAATTCCCGGGAAAGGTGCCGAACTTCTGCGTCCTCCGGGACACGCCTGGGGGGGGACAGAGCAAAGGGAGGGGGTGAGGGACCCCGGGGGCAACGCGTCCCCGTAGCCACAGCAGTGCCACGCACCCACGAACCAGCCGTCGTCGCACTGCTGCATCACGTCCACGCGGTCCCCCTCCAGCAGCTCCAGCTCGTCCGCGTTCTGCGGCCGGTACTGGTAGAGCGCGCGGTACCTGGGACACAGAGCGAGGCCACCGAGTGCCACCCCCCCACCGGGAACACGGGGACGCGGTGCCCGCTCCCGGCCCCACTCACGGTGTCCATTGGATGTCGGAGCCGTTGTAGGACGGGGCGGGCTCGGGGCGGGCGCCGGGGGCTGCGCGCTGCAGCGGGGACAGGATGGGTGCAGGTCACAACGTGGCACCCGCAGCCCCAGCGGTGCTGGGCATGGTGCTGGGGCATCACTCACCTGCTCGGGGGCACCGGCTGGGCGCCACGGCTGCTGATGGGGGGCTGCGGGCTGCGGGGGGCTGCGGGGGGCCAGGGAGGGGTTTGGGGTGCTGCTATGGGGCAGTTTTGGGGAGGGGGGGAAGGCGGAGCCGAGGTGTCGGGGGGAGGACGATGGGGAGGATGCTCGAGGGGAGCCGGTGGGCAGGGGGGGGCCGGGGGAGCGCTGTGGGGCTGGGGAGGCAGCGGGGGGCCGGGGGCTGGCGCTGGCGCTGGGTGGGACGTCCTCGGAGCTGGATTTGACCCGCGGCTCCTTCAGCACCTGCACGTAGGTGGCGGGGAAGATGCCCTGGCGGCTGGTGCCGGAGATGCGCCCCTCGTACCAGTTGTGGTCCACGCGCCGTGCCAGGCACACGCGCTCGCCCTGGCAACGGGACAGAGCCATGGGATGGGCTGGAAGGAGCTCCTCCAGCTCCAACCCCAACCCCTTCCACCGGAGCAGGGTGCTCCAAGCCCCTGTGTCCAGCCTGGCCTTGAGCACTGCCAGGGATGGGGCAGCCACAGCTGCTCTGGGCGCAGTGCGGCGGGGACGGGTGATGCGGTGATGTTCTGGTACCTTGCGGAACGAAAGCTCCACCGGCAGCTCCCCTCGGAAGTTGTAGAGCGCCAGGGCCTCGCCGTACTCCAGCACTTGGATGGTCGGCGCCTTGATGGGCTTGGGAACCTCCGTGGAAGGCAGGATCTGGGGGGGAACAGTGGGGTGAGGGTCAGCGCTGGGTGCCTCGGCACAGCTGACCCCCCCATCTCCATCCTCATGGGCTCACCTCTACGTAGTTGGAGGGGAAGATGCCCACGCGGCCATGGTGCTCGCCCTCCAGCCAGTTCCTGTCCACCTCCTTATGGATGTAGACGATGTCCCCCTTCTGCAGCGTCAGCTCCCTGCGAGCAGCAGCGCTCAGGGACGCCGGCCCCTCCCCAGCATCCCCGGTGCCACCCCTGGACCCCACCGCCACCACCCGGGGGACTGCAGCAGCACCATCACCTACTTGGGTGACTCAGCTTGGAAGTCGAACTTGAGGCGAGCGGCTTTCATCTGGGGACGGAGAAGTGGGGTCAGAGGAGGGCTCCCCCATCCCCGCCATTCCCAATCCCATGCGGGGTGGGACCAGCCCGGCCTCACCTTCTTCTCCTCCCTCCTGACGGCCTCTGCGGGGTCCCCCACGTCGGGCAGGCTGGGGAGGGTCTCTGGCCGCAAGGTGTCTGTAAAGGGGGGGTGTCAGCAGCCTGGTCCATGGGGCGCCCCACGGCCCGGATGGGGGGGGGGGGGCCTCACCTCTTCCGGGGGCTGCGCGGCTCCGGTCGCTGCCGAGCCCGGGGATGCTCCGCTCCATGGCCGGGGTCTGCAGCCGGGCCCTGCGGGGGGCAGCGGCTCAGGCCCGGGAGCACCGGGGACCGCGGTTCTCCGCTCCCGGCCCCGCTCCCGCACCGACCCCCGCGGTGTTCGCTTCCCTTCCGCTTCCCCCGCCCTGCTCCGCGGGGCGCAGCGCTGGGGCCCCGCCAAGCCCCGGGACGCTGCGTCCCGGCCCCGGGAAGCGGCTGAGCCCCGCCCGCCCCGTCCCACCCGAGGGCAGCCGGGACGGCGCCGGGACCCCCCCGTGCGGGCCGCGGCCACCCAAGCCCGGCCCCACAGCCCCGGAGCGGAGCCGCGGTCTCTGCCCCCCCCCCCCTTTCCCGTTGCGGTCCCGGGGAGCACTCACGGCGGGGCCGCAGGGGCCGGAGCGGGGCCGCGGGCGGCGGGGGCCGGCGCTGGGCGCTGCGGGAGGGGCGGGAGCGGGAATTGATGATCCGGGAGGCCGGGGCCGGGCGGGAAGCGCAGGAATCCAGCGCCGAGGAGGGACGGGAGGCGCCGGGACAGGGTCCTAGCGCCCCGCGGCCACGGCTCGGACACGGCACGGCCGTGAGGTACCGGCCAGATGTGCCCCATCCGGATGTGCCTGCACCCAGCCCTGCCCGCATCCAGCTGTGCACAGATCCAGCCCTGCCTGCACCCCCCCTGCCCGCATCCAGCTGTGCACAGATCCAGCCCTGCCTGCACCTACCCCTGCCCGCATCCAGCTGTGCACAGATCCAGCCCTGCCCGCATCCAGCTGTGCACAGATCCAGCCCTGCCTGCACCCCCCCCGCCCGCACCCACCCCTGCCCGCATCCAGCTGTGCACAGATCCAGCCCTGCCCGCACCCACCCCTGCCTGCATCCAGCTGTGCACAGATCCAGCTGTGCACAGATCCAGCCCTGCCTGCACCCCCCCTGCCCGCATCCAGCTGTGCACAGGTCCAGCCCTGCCCGCACCCACCCCTGCCCGCATCCAGCTGTGCACAGATCCAGCCCTGCCCACACCCACCCCTGCCTGCATCCAGCTGTGCACAGATCCAGCTGTGCACAGATCCAGCCCTGCCCGCATCCATCCCTGCCTGCATCCCCGTGCAATGGCTGCGTGCACAGCTGGATGGAGATCCCATCCCCATTCCACGTCCCGTCAAGGCCATGGGGCATGGGAGGGGTGCAGCCGGGATACCTGACAGGGTTCCCATCGTGTCTCCATGGCCCTCATGTCCTTGTCCAGCTCCACGCTGAGCTGCTCCAGCTCCTGCTCCAGCAGCACCTAGGGCAGGATGGGGCTGCACCAGGCGAGGGTGGCTCTGCCCGCACCCCGCATCCCTTGGCACGGGCACCAAGACCCCGCTGCCAACCCCCTTGGCCCCCAGCTTACCTCAATGGGACGAGCCCGTGCTGGTGGCACCGCTGCCGGGGGCTGGAAAGGGCGAGGGGCTGGTGAGGTTTGTGCACACCGAGGCCCCCAGCAGCATCCCCGGGGCAGGACGCTCCTACCTGCTTTGGCAGCGAGGGGCTCCCCGGTTCGTAGTCAAAGATGCTGCCGGGCTCCACGGTGGCACCAGTGACAGCCCAGGGGAGCCTGTGGGAAGCAGGAGGGGCTCAGCCCCAGAGCCCTGCACCCATGGGCAGCACCGGGCACCTCACTGCACTCACCAGTCCCCGTTGGGCACGGCCGGCTTCATCTGAGGTGCTGGGGGGGACGGAGGCAGCGAGGAGCTGAGCTTATCCGTGGGGCAGGGATGGGGGTCCCAGTCGGGCTCTGTGGGGATGGAGGAGGAGGCGAACGCTGGCACACGGTGCCCAGAGAAGCTGTGGCTGCCCCACCCCTGGCAGTGCTCAAGGCCAGGTTGGACACAGGGGTCAGAGCACCCTGCTCTAGCGGAAGGGGTCCCTGTCACTGGAGCTGGATGAGCTTTAAGCTCCCTTCATCCCAGCCCCTTCCGTGGCTCCTCACCTGGCAGCCTGCGGTGCATCTGCCGGAACATGCTGCGGTACCAGTCCCGGGGCTGGTCCACGCTCTGTGGGGACACAGCGGGGGGTCAGGGGGTGCCGGGGGGGGGATGACCCGCAGCACTGTGCCCCCCGCTCACCGAGCGCGAGGCAATGGGCATCCCGGTCTCATCCACCGGTCCGATGCCGTCGTACTTGACCCAGCGCCGCTCCCGCCTCCTGCTGTCCTTGGTCCACGTTGCCGACCAGCCCGGGGGGGGCCGGGGCCCGGGGGGGGCAGCGCTGGGGCCGGCGGGTGCTGTGGGGCTGCGCGTCCTCCCCTCCTTGGCCGGCCAGGTCTGGTACCAGTCGCTCGCTGGGGGTGAGGGGGATGAGGGGAGCCCTTGCGCTGTGCCGAGCACTGGGGACGCGTGGGGATGCTCGTGGTGGTACCTGAGCTCCGGGGGGGGGCCCGGCCACGTTCAGCAGCACCAGGGGCCTCCGGGGCCTGGAAGTCGAAGTTCAGGGTGTTGGAGCCGTGGTGGTGGATGACGGGGACCTGCAGCACAAGGAAGGGGCTGGAGCAGGGGGAGCGCCCCGGGGGCAAAGGGCTGGGGGTGAAGCAGGTCCCCACTCACCCGCACCGCCGAGCGCTGGGGGGGCACGCACGGTGCCGGCCGCGAGCCGGGGGTGTCCTCAACGCCCTGATCCCGGCTGGCAGCGGGGGCCGGGAGCCGGCCTGCCATGGCCCGTGTCCTGTGGGAACGCGGCTGCGCTCACTGTGGGTCCCAGCCCTGCCTCATGGGTGCTCCCAGCCAGCGCCACAGCCAGAGCACCGGCTCCGCGGCAGGGACGGATCCAGCCCCACCGGGGAGACAGCCCCTCAGTGCGGGACACAGCGATGGGCAAGTCCCTCATCCCTTCACCCCCTTACCCCATCACCCCCTCATCCCTTCACCCCCTTACCCCATTACCCCCATATCCCATCACCCCCTTACCCCATCACCCCCATATCCCATCACCCCATCATCCCATCACCCCCTTACCCCATCACCCCCTCATCCCATCACTCCTTTATCCCATTACCCCCTCAACCCCTCATCCCTTCATTCCCTCATCCCATCACCCCCTCCCTCCCTCACACCATCACCCCCTTACCCCATCACCCCCATATCCCATCACCCCCTCACCCCCCCCATGCCCTCCCCCCCCCCCCATCCCCTCCGCACCCCTTGATCCCGGTGCCCCCCCGCCCAGGCACGTGTCGCAGCGCCGGCGCCGGGCTCGCCGCCAGGGCCGAGGCCCGTGGGACCGGTGCCACCTCCCCGCCCTGCAGCGCAAACAGGGCCGGGGGAGCGCGATGGGAACGGCGGCTCCGGGCGGGCCGGGACCCGCGAGCAACGGCCCCGGCACCGCCGCGGGGTGAGCGGCCCCCAGGGACCGCCCGCCCGGGGTCACCCCTGCCCTGCTCCTCCCGCCGCCCCCTCTCGCTGATGCGCTGGGGCCCCGCTGAGGACCCCCACTCGGACAGCGCCCCACTGAGGACCCCTCAGCTCCTCGCTCCTGCCCCGCACCCCCGGGGCTGTAATTAGCGATCATCAGCTCACAATTAACAGCAACGAGCGCCCCGGGCGCTGGCAGCAGGCGCAGAGTCCAACCCCCCCCCCCCCGGCTAAGGGCACCCCAGGCTCTGCCGCCCCATCCCCTGCGCCCTCCCGCAGCCCCGTGGGGCTCAGCCCCATCCTGCGTCCCCCAGAGCCTGGGCCATGGGGGCCCCTCCGGGCCCTGCGCCAGCGCTTACCTGACGTGGGGGGGCCCCACCGGGAGCGGGACGGAGCCGAGGGCGCTGCGGAGCGAAACGCAGGGAGCGAAGCGGTGGGAGAGGAGAAGGGGAAGGAGAAGGGGAAGGAGGAGAAGGGGAAGGGGGGGGGGCTCTCAGCGCATCACGGTCGCGCCCCCCCCGCGGCACCCCCGGCGCTGTCCCCGCAGGGGGTCCCGGCCGCGGCGCTCCCCGCTCCGGAGCGGCCCGGGCCCATTCAGAGTTTCCAGGGACATTTCCAGGGCCGGGATCCAGGGCGCGGGGCCAAGAGGCTGAACCCGTCCCACGCCCCGCGCGCGTTCCCGGGCGCGCTCCCGGGGCTGGCGGGGGGAACCCGGAGCCACCGGCACCAAACCCCCTCCCGCTCTCCCATGGGGGCTCCATCCCCTCTGCCCCGGAGGATGCGGGCACCGGGACCCCCGTGACCCCCCCCCCCGGCACCCTCCCGCTTCCTCCTGCGCCCCACAAGTGCTGGCAGCGCCCTGCAGGCCCTTCCCTGCCGCTGTCCCCATCGATGGCGGCCGCCCCTCGGTCCCCTCCGGGCCATGGGGACGGGCAGGACGCAGACCCCCAACGGCCACGGGATGGGGCAGCGGGGCCGGACAGGGACAACCCGGGGGGGGTAAGGGGGCACTCGGGGTCCCAAGCACCAGGGGAAGGGCTCAACCCCGCAGCGCTGCCCCGAGGGGTGCCGGAGCCCCCAGGACCACTCCAACGGGTCCCCTCCGCCCCACAGCACCGGGGCCACCGCGGGGGGGGGCCCGACCCCGCCTCACCTCGCCCGGTCCCACGGCTGCGGCTCCCTCCCTCCGCCCGCCCCCGGGTCAATGTTTAACGCCGGGACCAACAAAGGGCGTTCGTGAGCGTTTGTGAGCGTTTGCGAGCGTTTCCTGTCGGCGGTGGCAGCGCGGAGCCGGGCCCGGTGGAGCCCCCGCGCTCGGAGGGAACCCGCAGGGGAAGGGAAGGGGGGGTTGGAGCACCCCTGCCCCCGGTGCTCCCGGTGCCGAGCTCGGGGACGCGCAGCGCGCACGGGGGAGAGCCAGAGGTGGCGGCACAGCTGGGAGCCGGCCCCAGCGGCGGCGGGGCCATGGGCAGGAGCCGGAGCCGCCAGCCGGGAACGGGCCCCAGGTGGGACCTGCGGGGACCGGACACGGGGGGAGATGGAGCTGAGCTCTCAGGGGGGTGCTGGGGCACTGGGACGGGTTGAACAGAGGAGCTGTGGCTGCCCCATCCCTGGCAGTGCTCAAGGCCACGTCGGACACAGGGCTTGGAGCTCCGGGGGCAGGGGTTGGAGCACCCAGCGCATCCCCGGCGCTCTCCAAGTGCAGCACCAGGAGCGGCTCCACAAGCGCGGACACGCAGCGGGGCAGGAGCGGCCTCAGCCCCCGTGCCCCCCCCTTCCATCCCGTAATAACCACAGCGGAGCCAAGGCAAGGTTGAACTGTTTTTTTCTCCTTTTCGCCCCGTTTTCCCCTCGGGGAGGCCGCGGCCCCTCCCCCGCGGGCACAGAGCGGGGAATGGGGCGAAACCGCGGCCCATGAGGACAATTCCGCATTTTTGGGTTTTTTTTTTTCCTCTTTTAAACAGAACTAAAAAAAAAAACAACCCAAAATCCAAGGAATTTTATAAAACAACCGCAGGAAAAGGAGGCAGCGCTGGGCCCCGACCCCAGCATCGCCATCCCCGTCCAATGGGGGTCCGGGCATCCCCTGCCCCCGAGGGGCTCCAAAAGCACCCCAAAACAGGAGACCCCCCCCCAGTCCGTCCCCCCCCCCCCGCCCCATCGCTGCCTCCCTCCCTTACATGCACCTCGCTAGAACATGCAGAAACAACGCCCCAAACCCACCCCAGGCTGCGGGGCCGGGGGTGAGCCGTGCTGCCCCCCATGGGCCCTGCTCCTGGTCCCTGCTGCCGAGCTCCGGGGGGCACTGGGGAGGGATAAAGGGAGGGGAGCCCCGAGGTGAGGGGTTGGGGCGTGCACAGCCCCGAGGGCTGGCACTGGGGGGGGGGAGGAGGGGGAAAGGGGGGGTTTGGGGATTGCTGGGGGGGGGGGGGGGGATGAGTGAAGCAGGGTCTCCATCACCAGAACCGGCGAGGAGGGGATGGGGGTTCTCAGGTCCTGCTGCCAGCATGGGGGGGGGGTTAAAGGGATGCGTTAATCAGTCCGGGGGGGAATTATTGCCCGTGAGCCCCCACTGCTGCTCCGCACCCCCTCAGGAGCTCCAACCAAGGGAAGGCGGGGTCAGGACTGGGAGCCTGTATGGCATCCATGCATCCCGGCTGCTCCATGGCTCCCAGGCCGTTATCCAGCCAGAGCCGCCTGCCCTGACAGCACCTGGAATGGGGCGAAGCCCCAGCCCCATCTCCCTCTCTGGAAGGGGAAAGCGGAGGAGCAGGGGAGGCCTTGGGAGAGCCCAGTGCCTGCTCAGGCACGGCTCCCACCCGCCTGGCACCAGCGCCCAGGGACCAGGCCCAAGGGGACCGAAAGCTTCCTGCGAAGCCGCTGCTCTCTGGGGCTGGAGCACAAAGGGAAGCAGCGAGGTCCAGGAAGGGGCTGGCAGGGATCCTGAGCCAGGGGCAAGCACAGGGGACAGGGGAGGCGGAGGAGCTGGAAGGGGTTTGCTCTGCAAGCGGCTGCCCGGCCCTGGCACAGGACGAGGCTCGAGTGTCCCCCGGGAAGGGAAGCGACCGGACAGGAATCCACAGAATCCCTCTTGAACGCTCACCTCAGGTCAGTTTAATGTGAAAGAACGAGGCTTTGCTCAACAGATCCAAGCTTCAAACCCTGAACACTGCACAGAAACCTCCCTTCTCCTGCTCTGCTCCAACGCCCTTCCAGATCCGCTCCGTTCCCTACCTGCAGCCTGCCCTATCCCACCCTCCCTGGATGCACTTCCAACCCCGGGGGCTCTGCAGCAGAGCCCCCTCGCCACCGGCGAGGCCACATCCCTGCCGGAACCGGCAGCACCATCGCTCATCCTTCCCTCAAAGCTTCATCACAAGCTGGAAAACCCCCTCCATCGCCAGGAAAAGCCCACGTGCCCGTGGCTCCTTTGGATTGCACACGGCAGCAGGCAGCCGGATAAGCCCAAGTTGCCATCAGGAGGTAAAAGATGTCCCCAAAACACATGTGGGATGCCAAGGAGGGGGGGATGCTGGCTTAGCCAAGAGCACCCTGGACAGCCAGCACTCAGCTCCTGAGCAACAAGGGCTGATTCCAGAGCTGGGCACAAGGGAACGCACCACGGGCTCTGCAGGACGCGATGCTGGTACGAGGTGGGGCTTGCTACCCACAGGCTCTCCTACAGGAAACACCCAGGCCCCGCAGGGTCCCCCAGGATGGGAGGCAATTCCTGTGCTCTGAGTCAGAGCGATTCCCGAGGGCTTCCTGCAGCTGAGGGCTGCCTGCCCCCAGCCTCAACCCGGGCAGAGGCTGCACCGAGGGGCAGCGCCTCTCCCACCTCCCTCCCTGCTCTCACTCAGGGGTTACACATCCTGCCTGGGGCTGTGCCAGGCCGGGCCTGAAGGAAAAGGGGCTGTGAGTGGTGCAACCCCCGGTGCCCTCCGAGCTGATCCTGGCTATGTGTATGTCACCTTGGGAGAGGGATGGATCCCAGCCGGCCGCGGGCCTGCGCCCAGGCCGTCGCTAAAGCAGCAGATGCAGGGAGGCGAAGGAGCTGCGGCAAACGGGGAAGAGCGAGCTGGGGAGGGAGGGGAACAACGAAACCAACCCTGTCCTCGGGGGAAGGAGCCGGCTCCCGGCGCTACCCGGGCTGCCTGGGGCCAGGTCCTGTCTGAGCCCGCTGCCCCGGGAGCCCAGCTGCAGAGCACAAGGCCCCCCGGTGCGCAGCAGCAGCGGGCTCGGCTCCGGCCCTGGCCCTCCGCGGGCGATGGATGGGGTTTAACACGGAACATAAATAAAAAAGAAAGGACTTACAAAATGGTCACCTTCGGACAGCACGGATGCGGCCGGGGCGGGGGCGCGCCCCGGTGAGCGCCTTCCTCCCCCCCAATGACAATAAATAAATAGAATCCATGGAGGCCGGCCGG